CTCCAGCTTGTATGTTATGTGATCAAGCTGATGAAACCAGGGATCATCTATTCTTCGATTGCTCTTATTCTCGGGAGGTTTGGTTACCTTTCTTTGAGTTTTCACGGTTTGCTCCACCTTATTCTTTTCAGGTTTTAATTCAGTGGTTACTATCCTCAGCGGTAACCAGTGAGTTAAGGCCACTGATCCTACTCATCTTCCAAGCTGTGGTTTACTATTTGTGGAAGGAACGAAATGCTAGATATCATAACTCATCAAACAAGCCGGCACCTGTAATAATCAAGGAGATTCAGCTACACATTCGCGCTCGCCTACTGGGTTTGGATAGGGAAAGGTTATTTAAAACTACACTGCTCACTTTATCTCCAACACCACATCAAAGGAGAACTTATCTATCTCTCTGGTTTCAACATTTTCAGCGATAAGATTGACTACTCCAAAGTCTAAATTCTCTAATCACATGGGTTTTATTTTAAATCTTGTATCACCCTTTTTTATTTTCTTTCTATCCCTCTGTTGTAAAGGTACTCCTTTTGGAAGAAGGAGAAGAAGAAATATGAATTTAAAAAAAAAAAAAAAAAAAAATTTTACAAATGATGTTATGAAGGTCGTGGTTTGATGAGAGCGACATATCAATCTGTGGTAGGCAACGATGTTTTAATTCCCATTATATACTGTACTCTTCCAAAATACATTTTTTTTTTTGAAACACACTCTTCCAAAATACATTTATATCGAAAAATATATAGTATAAATAATAGAGGCTGACCATCTCGAGGAACATGAGAGAAGCGGTTGACCTTTTAAAAACCCTTTAGATTTACCATTTTGATGAGCCCTAGAGATAGTTAATTTTGACGTCTTACCCTTAATATTCAGTTTTACCCCGAGCTTTGGATTCTGTAATCCATTCCCCTCTGATGGACTAGTAAACGGACCCATCAAAATGGAAGTTGTCTCGTACATTTGGCATGAACCACAAAGAGAAGTATATTATTCTCCGTTTCGGATTTATTAACGTTACTATTAATAGTTTAAATAGTTTATTGTGAGTAACGTACTATAGTGATCACTAGATCAACGTGACGACATTACATGCAATGTTATTCACGCAGAATTTGATGATATAGCAATATTTTTTTTTATTTTTTATTTTGGCATCATAGCAATATTTTATTACCAGCCACACAATAGTTCATGTATACTCCATCCGTTCCTAAAAGATCTATGTTTTGAAAAAATATTTTGTTTCAAAAAAAAAAATATTCTATGTTTTCTATGAGAAAATTATAAGTTTCAAAAAATTAATTGGTTTTATTAGATTACTATTGGCTAAAAGTTGTTGAAAATTGAAAATTAATGAAAACGATAGTAATTTAATGTGTTTTCTTAATATGTGTGAAAACATTAGAAAGTCTATCTTTTAGGAACAGAGGGAGTATAATATATGTACACTACAATATTTTTGTTAGTTTCTAAACGTTCTGTGGCTAAAGATTTACACTTAATTTATGGTTCTTCAAGGAAAGCTACATGATGAAAATTAATTTTCAATTAATGTAATCTCCACCAAGAAAAGTAGTAGTGACTACTCGACTTTAATTCGACATTTATTCTAATTTATGTTTTTGGGTCACGCTGTAAACATATTGCCAACGTCAACGTTTATTTATCCGGGGAAAGGGTGAACAAAAAAAGAAATGAAAAGGAAACGGAAACGGTAGGCGCAAAGGTAAACCCCGTTGAAAAGTTGCTAACTATTTTTGGTGAAAAAACAATCGAAATATAGTCCCAGAAAAAAACTATTCAGTCTCTTTTATAACGACGAAATAAGTTTATTTTCTCCCTCGAGAAAGCCACATATATTTTCGTTTCTAACGTCTCTCTTACACGATGGAATGTTAAAGTTGTTAGATCTGTGGTCTTTTCAATTGCGGTTCGTATAGATCTTCTTTTGTTTCCAATACAACACATCTAGGGTTTTAAGCTAGCCATCATAATGAGAGCCCATCTGCTTCTTGGTGACACTCTCTCTCTCTCTTCCTTCAATAAATATGCCTCCACCTTCCTTCTCTCACATCACTCTACTTTCCTTCTCTTCTCTCCAAGTGGTGAATAAAATTTTGTGAACCAGTTTCCATAAAGGATCTGGAAAACAGATTGGATCGTTACACTTTAATTTTTTCCATTCACGAGGGTTTGACAAAGAGTTTCTTACAGATTTCTTTGGCATTCTGTCCACCTCCTTCGATGCATACAAGCGTATATAAGTGTGGTGTGTGAAAGAAGGAGGTGGGCATACTGCCAATAGATATGTGTTAGGGTTTCTTCGTAAAACCCTCTTGATGTTCATATTTATGAATGTTTTGAATATGATGAGCTTGATCTGTTACTTGATGATGACAAGCTTCCATCTGGCGTGAGGTGATTTTTCGATTAATGACTATTTTCTATCATATTTGATTATGTTTCTCTCTTATTGTTTGAGTTCATACATAAAGTCGTTTTTGGTGTTCATCCTTGACTTTATGTTGATCTAGATCATTGCATCGTTATTTATTTTTTTACTTTTGGTAAAATATTTAACGACCTTTGGTCTTTTCCACCTTTCTAGTGTAAAACCTTTGAAATATATCGTGGGAAGGTGTCATAGTGCGAGGTCTTGATGGTTAGTCTTCTTTTTTTTTTTTGTTCACGATGGTTAGTCTTCTAGAAAAAGGTTAAAACACTAAGAAAAAGAGAAGGACCCAGATTTCCGAAAAGGTAAACAGAGGTTTTGATTTACTTTGAGAACATAGTAATGAGGGAGAAAGGAGAAGCATCTTGTTTTGAAATCCACGATGTTATTATGATGTTCCCTTATTCTATTTGAAGTTGAAGGAACAGTAGTAGGGATTACGTGTACTCCTTCATTTGGTATAAATTCTGACCATAGTTGTTCATTTATCATCATCATCTCTAAGACAAAACACGCAAGTCATACATACATACATTTATATTTTGGAGTATACATTTATCATGTTTTGATGATAATTGCAATGCTGGTTAGTAAACGGATACTTTGGTATTTTCGTGAGGCTATAAGTCATCAGATAACAAATATCCACAGTTTCGTTTCAGTGTTCTTAAATTATGAGCTGTCCAACAAAAAATGTTCAAAGAAACTAGCTTTTGGATTAATTATCGTAGCAAAAAAGGTCCTCAAAATTGAATATAACATTTTTGCTGTATAGCCGAATGATAATTTGGGACGATGAGCTTGCATGGAGCTCCAATATGAGAATCACTTGATTACAAAATATTCATTACGGAACTTTGGGGAATCTCTAGATCACCTTTAGACCTTTGTACTTTATACGAGAATGATATAGCTCTTCTATTTAATCAAGGAATAGGTGAAGAATCTGAAGACTGTGGTAAGTGATCTTATAAAAGAGTCTCACTTATCAAAACCTTATAATCCCAAATTGCTAATTGGCTGTTGTCTCAAGACTGATCATATCTTCTATAAATGTTTTCTTTAGGGTTTAAAAACTCTTCAAGTGTTGTATAAATGGGTATTATACTCGTATTCAAAAATGTCACAATTTGTGAGAGTCTGAGAGATAACCAGTATTATTAACATCCCACAATATATATTGCAAACTATAGCCACATCACATATATATTGTCCAAGAAACACATCACATATATATTTCCCATCACTAATAAGTTTGCATATATATACATAGGGAAGTATAAAGTTCACGTCAACAAAAACTCATACTCTTACCTTTTCCTTGCACCTCCTTTGACGATCCTATATCTGTTCATAATATTTACGGCCGCCGGGCTTTGTACCTGGATTTCATCAATTGAAATTAGCCGGAGTGCTTCAACGGATCTAACTATTAATAATCCAACAGTATATTATCATTAGTTTAAGTGCAATAAGCCTCCAATTAATTTAGTCATGAGCCTCGAAGAACTTTGCAACCTGTTGTTATCATAAGGTTTTAGATGCGGTTTTTAAGAACATACAAAAGTCTTATTTTATTGTTTTAAAAAAAGATGATAAGAAATGTTAATATCATTAAGATGTAATGAAATGATGTTTTATTGTTTACATCTCGACTTTACCTTCTTATAAATGTATAAACGTAAACTAAATATGACAGTGTTATATGAGAGAATTAGTGAAAATATGTTGAAAAGGGTCAGGGCCGAATGGCCCGAATCCAGAATAATTTTCTTGTGAGTGCAAAATACAATAAAGGACTAAGAGGAAATTGAACTTAAGACTTTCAGGGTCAGGGGTGCACAACACTATTAAACCATCTAATCTAAGCTGATTTGAGGAAATTGAACTTAAGACTTTCAGGGTCAGGGGTGCACAACACTATTAAACCATCTAATCTAAGCTGATTTTTTTTTGTATCTATACATACAAAACGTTAATATTTATAGCCGAAGCACTCGCTTCGCTAAAGGGTCATTGGCTGCGTTTAACTATTGAATAGTGCACTACTACACACATTTTTTTTTTTTTAGCAACTTCCAAGGTGTTACAAATTTGTACGTCGTTAATAAAAAAACCCTATAGTGTTCGATCATGGATTTCTTCCAAGGTGTATGCGACACTAATATAATATCAATGGTTACACTTTTATTTAAATATACATTCGTTGACTTACACTTTTCTTCCGTTGAAACCTCTTTTGCTTAGTTGTGTTGGCAGACAATGCAATTCAATTAAATAGTTCACATACGAACCCTATAATTGCTCCAACTGAAGTTAAAGCCATGCATGGAGGCAGGACGTCCATGTAGGTAAAAGAACACAAACTAAAAATATACTAATGTTTCAGTTTAATCTTTTTCCGTAACATATATGCTAAAGAAACTGATATCTTCATTGTCAAATTTAGTTGAGCCATGAAGCATCCACCATCTTACCCCTAAAAGCATACCTATCAGCTGCTTCATTGATCGGTTGCAATTCACAAACTTTACTCTTGCCACTTTCACATCCATGTTTATACACTAAATTTTTTCGACAGTAATTCAATTCTAACCAAACACTGACTGCATCCACGTTATAATTGTATTGCTCAAGTAATTCTTTATTCTAAAGATCAAAATACAATAGACTAATAAATTTATGGGAAAATATAAGATTTTTATATGAATCAAAACTAGAAAATATGAGAGCTTGTGGATTGTTACTCGGCCCTTCAAGAATCCCCCATTTTCACATCAGTCACATCTAATTGTATTATCTCCGCCCTGCAACCTAAAATTGATCCAATGCTGTAACCAAAAATATGGTTCAATACTATTCTTCTTAACCCAAACCACTGGAGTTTCTGTATTTTGTCATACCTGGGAGTGGTACGACCAAGATCTCCATGAACAAACTCTTTGATGTATGTTCCAGCCTGCATCATTGAAAAATAAAGTGCCTATATACTTCCCTACAAAGAATTATAAAAGTAGGGCAAAAGAGAAACCAAGTGACTCACCAATTCTTTCATGGAAGAAATTGAGTTGCAATCTTCGTCCACTTGTGAATTATAAAAGTAGGGCAAAAGAGAAACCAAGTGACTCACCAATTCTTTCATGGAAGAAATTGAGTTGCAATCTTTCTCCTCAAGTGGACGAGAAATCCATACAAGTGCCTTGCAGCACATTGCTTCTGCATATATACAAAAACATTGGAGCACTTGGTTTTATAGTCCTTATTACACTTCTAACTAAACTAACAACTGAGTTAAGGTAGCAATATTTAGATAGGATTTAACAAAATTGACTTGTTTCTCTGCTTCTCCTTCAGATCTTTTACTCCAACCTGCAGCCAAAAAGCTTGTAAGCAAACCACAAAATCAACTGATCCAATGTTTTCCTTGTGTTTTCACCTTTTAAAAATCGGAACGCCCCAATCTTTTTTACCTTGTGTTTTCAAATTCTCGCTTTGGGTGCGAGAGGTCCGGAGTTCGATTCTCCGAACGCCCCAATCTTTTTTTCCTTGTGTTTTCACCTTTTACGAACGGTAAAAATTTAATATATATATAGTTGACTTTAAAGCAACATGGGTGTTTAGTTTAGTGGTAGAATTCTCGCTTTGGGTGCGAGAGGTCCGGAGTTCGATTCTCCGAACGCCCCATCTTTTTTACTCTGTGTTTTTTACTTTCAGTCAAATTGCAGTAAGTAGGGCCCATAAATTTTATATATTAAATAGTTTATTATTAAAGTAACATGGGCGTTTGTTTCAGTGGTAGAATTCTCGCTTCGGGTGCGAGAGGTCCCGAGTTCGATTCTCAGAACGCCCCATTTTTTTAACTTGTGTTTTATTACTTTTTACGATCAGTAAAATTTCAGATGATCGTATTGCCTAATTTTTTTAGCCCCGTGCAGTGCACAACTGCACACAATCTATACTATATAAAAGTTGAGGCTATAAGCCATTGAGGACGTCCACATAGGATTTAAGTCCTCCAATCGTATAATGACACATCATTATATTAGTTTATTATTTTTATAAAATGTCATTGTTTCCAAATTATATTAAAAACGAAATTAATATTCCATATATAACTTAGATAACAATGACACATCATTATATTAGTTTATTATTTTTATAAAATGTCATTGTTTCCAAATTATATTAAAAACGAAATTAATATTCCATATATAACTTAGATAACAAAATAAATACTAACATTTTAAAAATTACTTAAAAATGTTAACTGTTATAAAAAAATGGAAATCAAAAATAAAAACGTAATATTAAAAAAAAATTATTGTCTTTTTAGATATACTAAATGTAAAGTATCATTTTTATAAAATGTCAATGTTTCCAAATTATATTAAAAACGAAATTAATATTACATATATAATTTAACTAAAAAAATAAATATTAAAATTTTACAACTTACTTAAAAATGTTAACTGTTATAAAAAATGGAAAAAAAAATATTGACAAAACATTATTGTCTTTTTATATATACTAAATATAAAGTATATTTTATACAAAAATAAAATAATAATCTAATAGTAAAATAGTAAAGTAACAAAAATCATCTTACANTTAATATAGATTATTAGTTTTAAAATGTTAAGATTTCCAAATTTATATGTTAGGATTTCCAAATTTCTCTATATTAACATTAAATGGAATAAAGCAAATTATTAATATAAATTATTAGTTTTTAAATTGTCAAGATTTCCAAATTTAAATGTCTGGATTTCTAAAGTTCTCTATATTAACATAAAATAGAATAAAGCAGATTATTAATATAAATTATTAGTTTTTAAATTGTATATTAACATAAAATAAAATAAGAAATTTTATAATATATGAAGTATTGGGTGACTATAAATAACTGTTAAAGTTCTAAAAGTTTTCAAAATATATGTTGAGAAACAGAGAGATATTGGAAAGAGAAAAGATATATTGATACAATGATTGTTTTGACTTCTTCTTTGGTTTTCGAGGATCTTAGAAAATGTTTTAATAAGAATGAAGTTCTTGCTAGAATGATTCACTTTTGGAAAGCACGTAATATCTATAAGGCTAATTTGCTAATGAGTTTCGAATTATTACTTATTGATCGGTATGAATAAATTTATTTAGATATTATCTATATTATATAAAAGTTAAGGCTATAAGCTATGAAGACATCCACATAGAATTTAAATCCTCCAATCATATCATGACACATAAGTTTTTTGATTTGTTATTTAAAAAAATG